TGTGTGTGTTTGTGTGTGTGTTTGTGTGTTTGTGTGTGTGTGCGTGTGTATGTGTGTGAAATGGTATAGGTTTTCGCACACTATGAACACTGTTATGTTATTTAAGAGCCTGTTTAACGATGTCTCCGAAATGACCGAGCCAAGTGGGAAATTCGTGGAAAGTGCCTTCCCCAAGGACGCAACGTTGGACACAGCTGAGACTCGAACCCCCGAACCCGCAATCTCCCGAATACGAGTCCGTAGCCTAATCACTAGGCTACTGACGATACCCCATGAGGCAGAATTAAAACAGCTTGATCTCTTAACTTATGTAAAAGATAACGCTGTATGGATTATGATATTATGTGTAACTGTATTAACGTGAAAATCCAGGACATTGATTCACCCGTTATAAAGATATTAGAGGATAAGTTGAGGCACAAATTTTTGACCGCACATTTGTGGTCTACGTTAACGTATCAGCTACAATAACAATGATAATGCATTCATGATTTATTCATGAGTTTCAGAAGCCTCCGGATTTCAGACCCACTTTTATGGACTTCTGGTGAAACAGTTTATTGCTTTTACTTTTATAGTTTTTACATGTACTAGCAATAAACGTATTGTGCTAACATTTTATTTAAGTTCCCTTTATTCTACACTCGTTTGCGCCAAAGTTAGGTTTTGCATGTAGTGCGTGCTGATATTATGAACTCTACGTTCTTGATTTGTTTGCATCATTGGAAAGTTCATTATTGAGCACGTCGGCAGTAGAAGTGTGCTGCCTGAACGAAATGTATTATTTACTTAATTCTTATTTCTGTATTTATGAATGTTAATTGTCTACAGTTTGACCTGGTCTGTGAGCGTGACTCTCTGGCCAAACTGAGCCAAACTCTGGTCATCGCTGGTCAAGGAATCGGGGCTGTGCTCACCACCATAGCGAGTGACCGCCTGGGCAGGAAGGTGAGTACCAGGGAACACAGCAAGTCATCAGTCGCGCACGGACAAGATGAGTTACTTCTTGCAATCCAAGAATGAAGATATCAGCCGAAAATCGACACTGGAGTCAGATTTATAGATATTCAATTGATGCCATTTTGTGTTGGTCTACAAAGTGCCTGTTATTGTTCCATACATACAAATCGTAGGAACTCCACCCACACACTTGATGCATCCGTTTCATCAGGGCTAACATCTGAGAAATAACTCATTTTGTCAGCACACCTCACAGATGGTCAACAAAACTGTTTGTGAATGAAAACACGAAAGTAAAACAGAAAAAAAGA